CCCCCTTCCAGCTCCTTGCTGCTGCCCAACGCCACCGAGCTCCTGTCCCCCCCCGGGGGCAGAGCCTCGGGCCCGCAGTGGGGCGTGGGGGTCCCCCGGAGCCGCCGGAGGCGACACCTCTCCCCCCACGACATGAGTGGGATTTTGGACTATCACAACCAAGTGCGGGCGCAGGTGTCCCCCCCCGCCGCCAACATGGAGTACATGGTGAGTGGGGCTCTGGCAGCGTGGTGTTGGGTCCGCAGCTCTCGGGTGCTGCAGTGGGGTCCAGGGGCTCGCCCGGGATGTGAGCACCCAACCTGGTAGGGACAGGGCACCCACACGTGGGGGTGTCTGGGGGTGTGAGGGTGCTGCCCTGGCTTCACAGCTGGGCGTCTCTCCTGGGGGATGTTTCATGTCCCTGGTGCAGGGCAGACCTATGCAGCCTCTGCACAGCAGGGATGGAGTGCCAGTGGGGGGATGTTCTCACCTGGGGACAGATTTAGGACCCCTGGTCCCATGCCTGGGACATCTGGGAGCTTGCTGGCTGTGGGATGGCATGACCCGTCCAGCTGAGCTGCAGAGGTAGAGTTAGAGCAAGGGAGGTGGCAACAAGCAGAAGACACACAGGTCCCAACCCAATGCACAGGTGGGAGCCTTTCCTCTAACTGTATCCCTGTCCTAAGCTCCATGTTGCCTTGCGAGTGTGCCCAGAGATGCTAGCCCCTGGGATAAGAAATATGCAGGAGTGGGGGAGCCTTGCAGGGTCAGGTACCTCCTCCAGTTGAGGGCCACCCTGGGCAGAGCTTTCCCCAGGTTGTCTCCATCCTGCTTGGAGCTCCTACCCCAGCCCTAGAGGGAGGAGACATGGGGAGCCACCAAGAGGTGGGATTTCCAGCTGCCATGGAGTGGGACCTCGGGGCAGGAGGTGCACCATGCACCCAGCAGCTGGGTGGTCCTGGAGGCTGGTTTGGGAGAAGCAGGAGGCAGCCCAGCTTGCTGGGCACCAGAGCAGGTCAGACGTGCCCAGGAGCATCCTGTGCTACTTCTTGTTTGGCCTAAATTCCTGCCTTCCAGAACAGGCATCTCCCCAGAGCAGTCCAGGATGGGTGAGGAACCCTTAAATAAAGCATGGAGGAACCATCTGTCCTCACCCGTTAGTCAGTGGCCAGCGCTGGGGTGGGGGGCTGGGGACAGCTGCAAGCTGCAGCAGCAGCGCAGGGCTGCGGGGTTTCACCCCTGGGCTCAGCTCCACCTTCTGCAGAAGGAGCTCCTCCCCGGAGGGTCACACATGCAGCACACCCGTGCTCTGCCTGGGCAGCGGGCACCTCACATGCCAGGAGCTGCACCGGGCATCTGGGGTGGTTCATCGCTCCTGGGCATGCTGCCATGCGTCCCCCAGGCCTTTTGTAGCCTGACATGTGCCTCACGGTTTTTGAACATCCACGGGTGCTCAGAACTCCTCCCTGAGCCCCAGGGAGTGGGTTTCTCCTTTTCCCTACTCCTGGCACCTGAAATCCCTCCCTGCCCTTTTCCTTTCCTCCCGGCCAGGTGTGGGACGAGCAGCTGGCCCGGGCAGCAGAGGCGTGGGCTGCACGCTGCCTGTGGGACCACGGGCCCCCCCAGCTGATGAAATACATGGGACAGAACCTCTCCATCCAATCGGGCAGGTGAGTGCTCCTGGGGACCCCTGCACCCCCTGACGTTGCAGGAGGAGGAGGAGGAGCAGAGGGGTTTGGAACCAGGGCTGCAGAGGACTGAGATGCAAACAAGAGGCATCAAGTCCCCTCCGGGAGGAGGAGGGTCCAACTCTTGTAGCAGGTTAAATGCAGGAAACCAGAGGTGCCTGCTGCTCATTTGTGGAGTGTGGCATTAATCCCCTTTCCGCCTGGCACATGGACCAGGGGGATGTGGGTCCTGGATCTCCACCACACAGCTGAGTGCTCAGGTGCCTCCAGCGAGGGCCAAGTCTTCTGGCCTTGGGCACAAGTGGACTTGGCACAAGGACGTCATTGTCCCTGCCTCATCTCACCTCTCTCCCCCATTCCCTCAGTGTGGAGCCTTCCTCCGCCTCCTCTCCCTTGCCCATGACCAAGGTGGAGGAGGTCCACCTTAGGCAAGGTGTGTTTTGCAGGCACCGCTCCGTCATGGACATGGTGAAGTCGTGGCACCAGGAGAAGCAGCACTACTCCTTCCCACAGCCCCGCGAGTGCCGCCCCCGCTGCCCCTCCACATGCAGCGGCTCTGTCTGCAGCCACTACACGCAGGCGGGCCACG